CAACTTACGAATTATTATTAAGAATGACCGAACTCTCACTAGCCAGTATCAGAAGATCTAGGATCTGCAGGAGCCCAAGGTATAAACACCAATAAGGAGAGACCACACCACAATAGACTGTTCACAAATTTGTTATATTTGACACACAGCAGCTGCAACAAATGTATTATTTATAAAATAAAATACAAAATATTTCCCCCAAAATAACAAACTAAATAAAAGTGCGCGCATACAGCTTGTATGTAAATGTATGAGTGAATAATGTCTGGTAACTGATGGATCGTTGGGGCCCGTTCAGTTTGTTTAACGTTTGTCCTACCACAGTCCGATGGAGCAAGAAAGTTCATAGTCCTGCAGGTATCTGAAGCTTCAATGGGAGCGAAACTTTGGCTTCAATAAAATCCTATTCAATTTTGGGTTGGCTCGCCATCCAGTTAACTGGAACTGTGGAATCACTGCTCCTCGATGGGCTTACTTCAGACTGGGTCCGTCTGTCGAGTCATTTTTTTACCAGATAACAAAAAAACCTGACCTATAAACAGGTCACAGGTCCATATAGTCACATACACCGTTGTGAAACAGCCACACTTACTTCAGAATGAACAATAAGTATCAGTGTAACTCTATATCTTAATTCAGCTAGCTCTGTTGTACAACAAAATTATATCACTGCAGCATCACATCCTCTTCGGTGAGCTATAATTTTATCAACCTGAAGGGTTGACAATGTTCACAAAAACACCGCTTCTAGAGCTACCACTGTAGCTGCAGTCGGCCACTCACAGTAGCTCACCAGACGTGTACATTATAAACAACTCAAAGAACACAACTGAAAATCTGAGAATCGGCTTACAATTGAATTAAATTGTTACACACAAAACTGATTAGGACCATTTCTTTTGTTTTTGTTTCTTTTTTTCTCTCTTAAACGTAATATGGTTGCAGTCGCTAACCATTTCACACACATAAACACATTCAATTCTGCTAGCGTGAGCGCTAGCTGTTAGCTTAGCGGCTAGCGGACTTTCCGTCCCGTTAAGTCTGCCCTTTTATCCTTAACAAATTAG